ATATTGGGTGATATTCAATATGTAATCTAATAGGATAGGATAATCCGTATTGGGATTAACGTAAGGTATAACAATGTTACGCAAATTAGAATTAAACTTACTGAAGGACAAATACAAATTGTATTACATATTGTTTAATCAATATATAACTAAAATAACGAAAACACTGTCCAACTCAAATTTTCTTTTTTATTTTAGATTTACTGCATAATGCAACTTGAGTCGCTGGTGTGCTCACTATTTTGAGACACCTAGTGCTACTCAGCGATTGAGTTTCCAACTCCGTATCAATACTGCGAATGATATTTACGTGGTATTTTATCGTTAATAATAAGCATTAATCAACAATTAAATACCCAATAATTGTAAAATAAATGGCCTTTTGAGAATTAATATATTCTCAATATCTACTAGAGAGCCAGTAAGAAATAAATATAGACTATAGATGCTATTGGAATTATGGATGATCGAAACGCAGATAATATGGTATAATGCGAAAGGCGCATGTCAAAAGCATAAGCAAATGATTAAATCATTACATGCAGATATTTAAAATATTTTCGAAACATCTGTTTACTAATACATAGCAGTGCATAGTGTACTTCTATACTGATACGTTTACTGAATAATAGAGAGAGAGAGAGAGAAACATAGATAAGAAATGAATGAAGAAAGATATTGAATGAATAATATATCACATGTTAGATGGCTAGATAGATAGATACAACCATAAGTATGCGAAATATATTTATTGAATAAAGTTTTGAAAAGAATTATTTCGAAATATTCTAAATGAACTTTTACATGCAATTCCGGCACATATTATCATGATTATGTAATATGTTTACCAAAACTTTCATATAACACTTGATTTGAATGATACAGAGATAAAGAATGAATGAATGAATGATACGAAATGAATGAAAGAACATGTACATACACAAAATCAAAGCATCCGAAATAACATAACATATTATATGCTTTTGCACTTTTACTAAATGATATACAGAGATACAGAATATATTAAGAATTATATTGAATGAATAAAAGCAAAAGCATATGATTATTTTGTATAATGTAAGAATTCCACACTTCTACTTCCTGATAGAGAGATTGAGAACGAATGAAGAAAATATTAAATTAATAATAATGATAAAATTTGATTATTTTGGTATGATATGAGGATTTTCCACTTCTATTGTCTGATAGAGAGATAAAGAATGAATGAGGAATAATACTAAATGAATAAAAGTGATAAAGTATGATTATTATAATATTATAGTATGGCGGAATGGAGTTTTACGTCCTGTTTGACTGATAGAGACAAAGAATGAATGAAGAAAAACATTGAATGAATAAAAGAGTATAATATATAAGTATGTAAGTAATAATGTAAATATTATATAAGATAATGCCCTGTGTTTATTAGTCTGCTATTATTTACTTAGCTTTATTTATTAATATCATTCTCTTGTGTCTTACACTTATATAATCCTTACTGTATTTACTGTATGTATATTTCGTATAAAATAGGGTGGGGCGTCCCAAAACCATTTTTGACTGAATATTAAAAGGGATTTTAAAGAGGTTTTTTTCAAAAAAACATTATGACGTCATTAATCGCGAAGGTTATGTGATAAAACAATATTTGCGATTAGTGACGTAATCAAACATGTAGTTTTATGTGGAACTGCAGGAACCACAGATGTCTGATTGAAAATTGGAATGGTGCAATTTGATGCTATCAGTGTCCCTATGAACATAAAACAAAGTTAGAAAAGCTATTTAAAATCTCTTTAAATCATACTTACAATCGATCATTACTAGCAGATGATTTCAATAGATGATCAGAATTAAAGGGATATATTCGACAAAAAATATTTTGTTCTACTATATCAGTTATATATGTAATTTATATTACCATATTATGGCGTCAGTAGTTAAATGGACATAGAATGGGAATGAATTTCAATAACATTTTGGAAATTCTGGACACACATGGATTTAAACGCTTAAATTTCGACGGTGAGCTGTGAACCTATTAGTCTTCTGAAAAACTGTCCATTTAATATTGAATTATTTTTTTCTGAGAAATATTTTATTAATTTTGAAACCATTTCTTGAAATTTTATTTTGTTGTCTGACACAAGAAGTGTTGGCAGTAACGATTAGTCAATTTAAGTATTCTGGCGTTATCTTTTAAGTAGCTTTCTCAATACATTACTTTTTCTGAAAAAAATACCAAATTTACTGTTAAATGTAAGCAATATTAAAGTGGGTGTCCTTTAAAACGATGGAAATATACAGATTTAATTGAAAATCTCTAGTCTTAACTGTGTAATAAGGAAACGTGCCCTGGAAGTTTTTAAAATGTTGTAAATGGAGAAAAAATGTTATTTGAATTAAATCGTATTAATATCCACCCTGAAGATTTTGTTATATTTTGCGGAAATGGTGATAAAATATGATTATTTTGGTATAATATCATAATTTCATAATTTAGCTGGCCGAGAGAGAGATTAAGAATGAATGAAGAAGAATATTAAATGAATAATAGTGATAAAATATAATTATTTTGGTACGATATGAGGATTTTAAATTTATGCTTTTCTGATAGAGAGATAAAGAATGAATGAAGAACGGTATTGAATTAAACTCAGACTCGATAGTTGATTTGAATCATTGGAAAAGGGAAATTCACTCTGATAGTTTCATTTGTAAAAACTCGACAGATTACTTCATGTCAAACGCGTGCCTAAAATAATCATGACTCAGCTATTTTGAAAATAAAGTTTGAAAATTTTTAAATATTGTTATATTCCTATGATATTATATGATTGAAAAATGAAAATATAAACTTACTGAGGTTGTTGGCAAACTTTAATCAGTGAAATGATAACTGTTTAGAAAGATAGTTTATAACATTGAAATAGTTTGAATATTAGTCTTAAAGTCAAGTACATCTCTTTTTAGTTGGATTTATACAGAAAAATGTTCGACGTATTTTATGGTTGTCCGAAAATGTCATCTGGAACAAGACACCTAGTTCTACAATTTACCCTATTCAGAGGTGTACGGATGGACGGATCGTGTCTAGTTAAGCCCTATTTCTGATGTATGTTTAAGTAAGGACCCGGATATAAAATAACCTATTGGAGGGAATATTCCCAATTCTGCCCCTTTTCAAATGTGGCCTATGCTAAAAAGAAGAGAGTCCGGTATAAAACAAAATCTGTTGGACGGAGTATCCCTAGTTTTGCCCTATTTTACTTTTCTATTTTAAAAAAGAAATAAGTACAATATAATCCGTTGGATGAAGTATCCCTAGTTCTACCCTTTTCAGGTGTAAGATAATATCAAGGATCCAGTTATTGAATACCCCGTTGGACAGAGCAGCCCACCCCACCCCAGTTCTGCCCTTTTGCAAGTGTAGGCTAAAAAACGGACCAGGTATAAAGTATCCAGTTGATCGGAATATCCCCAGGTTCTCCCTATTTCAGTTGTATGTTAAAAATATAGTTCCCGTTATGAAGTTATGAAGTAACCTGTCGGACGGAGTATCCCCAGGTTCTCCCTATTTCAGTTGTATGTTATGAATAACGACTAGAATATAATTGATTTAATTAAAAGAGTTCAATAGTTGAGTATTATGTCAGACTATAACGAGTTTACATCTAAATACTTATACAATTATATAACATATTATATAGTAAACCTATTTATAACAGGTTCTTCGTGCTTTCGACCTATTTCACCTTCTTGTCAGCAGTGGTTAATAATCGGCAATAACGTATTTAGAGAAAAAGTGAAATACCAAAAGACATAGCTAATCAAAATTGATATCACATACTACTCAAATCCCCTTTAATCATGTCGCTTTCTGATGGGCACGATCCGTCCATTCCAGAAAAATATCTAGAAAATCCCCCTCCCACACAAACACTCTTCATTGCTGACCCCCAGCATGTGACCAGTCTGGCCAGTATATATAGGGTAACGATGTGGTTTACTAATGATAGTAATTAAAGCTAAATTAAGATATGATAATATTTTAGAGAGAGAAAGCCAATAATCATTAACATCTAATATTTCATAACTATTTTTATAATAGCCTACATATGTAGTCCTAAAGCTTGGATCTGCATGATATACTAACATAATACGACCGAAAGACTATAACTATTAACTTAACAAAATTATTAAAATTTTGCACAATAACAGTTAATAACTTTGAAGAAGTATACGATTTAACGATATTCTCAAAATTCAATAGCCTATATAAAAACACTTAGTAAATACATTGCATTCTATCGACTTATCAACACTATAGCAAATATCAATGACTGGTTTCAAATATTAAAATACGAGCGTACAGTATCTTCAATGGTCTTTGATGATCTTTCGTCTCTTGAAGGCCAAACAAAGATAGTTTTTTTTAAGATTTAAAAAGATATAATAATCTTTTGATATTTGAAGTTGGGCTAAACACGGATTTATTAGGCATATAAAATATATGAAACATATTTAAATTATTTATAATTCAGGTAATACTTACGTAAGCGTATTAGGGCCATTCATTTTTTTCTTTTTTTGGTATTTTCAAGTTAGTAACTTGAATTTTCAAGTTAGTATGTTCGAGTTAGTTAGTATATTGAATTTTCAAGTTAGTATGTTAAATTTTCAAGTTAATATGTTGAATTTTCAAGTTAGTAACTTGAATTTTCAAGTTAGTAACTTGAATTTTCAAGTTAATATGTGTTAGTATTTTGAATTT